GCTGTCCGGCATGTTCTGCATATTTCTGCATCGGAGTAATATTTTACTTTATTCATCAGGATATATGCTTATTTACAACAAATAAATGTAATTACAATTTATATTACATGTATTTTTCACTGATTTGTTTATAATAAATGCTATCTAAACCGGTGATTTACCGCAGATAATAATCGTCAGTTGATACAATATTTTTCTTTTCTGTTGAGAATCATACTGTTTAAGGATCAAACGATTGTCGTTTTAAATTAGTGTTATAGACCACCAATTGATAAATGAATCAACTTGAGAACCTTGTCCGTTAAGTGTCGAGATTACTAAAAAAATGCAATAAAGAGCGCAAACTTTTGACTCTCGGGCCCTTATACGAAAAATGGACCGAGAAGGTGACAGTTGTCTTTCTCGCTTCTCATAATACACAGGAAAATAATTATGGTTTTATGATCCGGAGACATTGAACACTCGAAAATGTACTTTCAGCAGCAATGTCGCTGGTGACATTTTTAATTTAAATTTCGACGTCATGAACGTTATTTTGTTTTACCATTATCGTGCGCCGGATCGCATAACCCTTGCAAATGTTCACATAATTGTTATTTGTAAACATATTGTTTTGATTTATTCACTATATGTTAAAGACATGTTCCATTATTTGTCTCTTGTAAAATCGTGTACGCAAATTAAAAAAATGTGAACAATAGAGCTGCAGTCCACGAACTTTTTGAACAGCCCTCGTATTATTTATAAAATGAAAAAAAATAAATATATAAATAAATTAATAAATAAATAAATAAATAAATAAATAAATGAATAAATAAATAAATAAATAAATAAATAAAACAACGAAAGAGTGTTGACATTAGATACATATCTTATGTGATACAAATGGTTGGATAAAATAACATGCATATCAACTATTCAAATATTATATGTATGTCCTCCTGCCAAAAAAAAAATGAATGAAATGTATGGAAATATATATGATATTTATCAGTCATCATGTTTAAAGTGTGTGTTGGAAGAGGGAGTAGATCTAAAGAATATTTATATACGTGTGGATGATTAACTTATATTTTGCAAAATATTATACTAGTATTTAAACTGATGTGCATAATAATTATTATAAAATTATAAGATGCTTTTAACATAGACAACGAATAAATATAATGCGCAAAAAACGTTATTTAATGGTTATAAAAGTTAACAATTCCAAACATTAACAACAAAACTGTATTAATTGCATATATATCGAGGATGTATTGAGGTCACTAGAACATACAAAATGTGCTTCCTATGAACAGGCGTGACCGACTTCATTGAAAATCGCTCTTCCTTGTTGAGCTGTGTCCTCTTATTACACAAATGATCAATTTAAGTTTTGCTTTACATGGTTATCCATGTGTGTAAAAAGCCTTGTACTTTAATATTCATACAGAATTTATGAAAAGAAACAGTAATGAATATAAGGTAAAGTAAAACCAAGTCTATTACTTTTATTCTTTTTTGCATTCGAGAAAATACATTAAACACTCGACATTCTGATTTATACTAGGGGGATCTCCCCCTTGTACAACTCAGATAACCTCGTGTTTCAATTCTCTTTCTATTACTTAGAAGTAAATATAAATGCATCACAGGAAAAAAAATAAAAACACGATCCCTGTCGTCACAATATGAAACCCCAGACAAAAAGTAACCAATGTACGAGCATCTGAATAAGTAAACCAAATAAAAAATCAATGAGTATTCTTTATTTTGATTACCGACGTACTGTGCATGTATGGGTATACGATTTACCTATGGAAATATCTTAAAACTATGAAATATGATAAACAAGATTAACAAGGAAAGGCGGCGTGAAACAACAATAAGTGCGCTGAGAGTGACAGAATATTAATGTCACATCCCATAGATGGTGGTGATAGAACGAAATATTAACCCGTCGCCTTATTCTAAAAATGTCCTAACTCCATTTTTACCAAAAATGAGATAACTGCACATTTATTTTAGTATTAGTTTGTTCTATCTCCAAAACAAAACATGTAAAGATTTACGTCATACTTTTGTAGATATAGCGTCTGTATTTTGTTCTATGTCCAATGGAAAGCGCTGTTAGCCTTTTTTCGTCGTATCTCCAACACATGTAACACTTTTAGGCTAGTCTTTCGTGCCAGCCAATCAAGTTGAAAAATATATGTCATGTGACCTGAAGGGGCCTGACAATATAATTGTTCTAACTCCAGTGATAACAACAACAATCGTATCTAAATCAGCCAGCTAACTAGGAAAGTAACAGTTAAAAATGATTTCTGAAGAATGTAAGTAATATATTTTAGCTTTTATACGTTTTATAAGTGAACTTATATTTTGCATTAGTATTTGTTTCATCGTATTATGACTCTTTTATATATATTTCTCAAAGTTTGACAATCACATAATTTCGGATAACCATATTCGGATATTCGTATGAACTATTTGGAACTATTTGGAGTATCGACCATTGTTGTTGTTTAATTGTTAATGCTATTATTTTGTCCATTTCAGGTCAGACTTACTTATATTATCAGACGTTGTCCTTAAAGAAATGGTGTCTCTTAGAACTTGTGACTGCAGTTAGTAGAACTTCCACAAAACTATGGAATTTTATATCAACAACATCAAGTCTGTGGGGAAATTTTGACTTGCCATCAGTTTAGGATAAATCATTGTTTCAAGTCTTAAAATATTCACAAAAGATTTAGATATTTAACATTCCAATAGGATCGGAATACCACTGTCTTGTCCAAACATAGATTTTAAGTTTGCATGCGAGCGGGTCATCAATGATTATATTTATTAGATAATAGCAGAATTCTTAAAGCACAATACGGCATGATCTAAAATGTTGCCGGCTCGGTTTGATTTAGCCTGTGATTAGAATGTCCAGTTAAAATCTACGTTGTGCGACAAACACCAAAATGTGAGATCGCAAAATTCACTGGATGTAAAATCTTGAAAACGACGATTTTGCAATCTTGAAAGATTGTTAAGAACTTGAGCAGATATTTTTTCATACGCTGATATTAAACCACAAACAATACTTGAGACTTTTGAGAGGCGGTATAAATGCATGTGGTGTTGACTTTAATTGTGTGAATTAAAAAAAAGTGTTCTTGTTAATATAATTTGGATATGTATTCATTTAATCACAATATTAGAGATGGTTACAATGATTTCATTTTTCATAATGGTACAAAATATGTCAGTTTGTTTTAGCAAGTTCATTGATTAAAAATTTTATGAAATGTTTGTTGTTTTTCTTTTTTTATAACACACTTTTATATTGTCATTATCGAGAAAGGCCCAAGTTGGAGATCACGTCAACGAATTTATACTTTGACATAGTAATTTACAAAGATAAAGTGATTCAGTGTCAGCGGTTCAACCACTCTGGCTGAAAATGTTCTTTAGAATATAAAAATCTACTAATATTCTATATTAAAATTATTACTCTTAAAAAATGCTAACTCAAAAAGTATTTACAATTTTAGCCTTACTTTGTCATATCTCCGCAAACTCATTTTTAGAGTAATTTTTTTATCTAAAAATAAACATTTTTGGTCTATCTCCAAATATTTTTTTTATTTTTTCAATTAGTGCAAATTATAAAGGTATATAACAAAGTGCTTTCATCACATGTTGACATAAATAATACCAATCCAGAAGTCCACACTGTTAGGAGTTATTAAATAAAAGTTACAAAGTTTTGAACCTTTAACCCCTTTTTCCCAAAAAAGAGGAAATTGTAGATACACCATTTTTAGAATAGGGCGACAAAGTGATAATTATCAATTATAAAAAAGACTTTTAAAAAGAAAGTAACTCATAACTTTGATTACTAAAGCACTGCACTAAGTACATGCATGTTTGTCTGGGCCGTGTAGTTATGTCAGCCAAAGTATCAATAACATATGTATTAGACAAACATTATTTGCAATGTAACACAGTTGATTTAAGAACAATGTTGAAAGCGAAACAAAATATAAATATCTGCAATTATAACTTTCAATGAAGCATAACAACATAAGCGGAAAAATGAAATTAATAAAATAAAAAGATATACTACTCAACCTTTGCTAAGCACCATATCTTTACAGTTTTAGACTTAATACGAAGTGTTTGAACCGTGACTATCAATGACAGCTTGGCAGTGCCTTCTTATACTCCATTAGGTTTTTGATCGTTCTAACGGGTATGACTGGCCATTCTTGGAACAACATGACTCCAATCTCCTGGATGGTTCTGGGTTGTAGCTGACGAAATTCTAACCAGCAGCTCATTCCACATTTGCAGCTCATTACACATTTGTTTTATGGGATTAAAGTCAGGTGATCGAGCTGGCCAATACATGCGCTCATTAGACTATGTCTCTAGGTAGTCCTGGACCACCCTTGTCCTGGCCTGCATTTCTGTTATAAACACGTTGAAGCATTTTAATGAACTGTAAGTTAACTACGCTTTTTACGATCTCGCAACTTGGTGTTGTTTGATGTTAAGCACATAAGATAATATACATTATATCTAATATATTTGTTTAGGTTTTTGATTTCATTGAAATATAAAAGAGTTCAAGGAAGTAACAAGACTATATAAGTCACAGTATTTTATGTTATAGTTTAGGACACAACCTAAAGGTATATGTACTTTATTTTTTATATCGATGCTGCGTCAGACCTCACAATATTTTAAAACAATTATTGTAATGTAAAATTATGCTCATGTCATTTTCAACATTTTCTTGATAAAATTAGTGTCAAATAAGAATATAATTTGGTCAAAACCACTGTTAACTTTTCTGTATTGTTTTGTTTTTCTTCTTCCTTTCTTGCAGCCTTTGTCTTGCATTAACACTGTAACTTTCCTGACAATTTGATAATAGGTCTCTTGTACTTTAAAACATTGCTTAGTCATAAAAGAGTTATAAAAACGATAGCAAATATAGCCAAACAAAGTTTATATCACGCATCATTACCTCTCGCATAGACTGAACAATTCGCCTCCTCAATGTATTACACTTTTAAATATCTGAGATAAAAATGGAGAAGGATATCAAATTATTTTGTCGGATTTTTCTTTTGGGTCATTTGTTCATGGCTGGTAAGTGCAAAGTTTTAATCATAATTGTCGTTTTAAAAGATAAGTTTAATGACATACGTTTTATGAAATTCAATATATTTTTCAATCCGTTTTAACTTCAAATAAGGATTATACTAGATGCACACAATTCGATCATGAAGTTGAAAGTCACTAAAACAGATTTATTTTTTAGTAACACCATGATGTTTATATAATTTAAGTATTACATGTAATATTGGTCTGGTCATGCTGAACTGACGAATATATATCATATAAATGTTATTGTATCTTAACCACGTATTTACATCGTCGTACAATAAGCGCGTATAAACCCAATTCAACTTTGTGTTTAGCTTAAACACTATCGCTCAAAATGTTTTTTTTTTAAATGATGTTTATTTATATTGCATATATGTTGTATATAAACTAAATTGTATAACTAAAAAAAATATTTCTGAAAAATACCATAGATTTTCAAATCTGAGTAACTGACTATGAATTATTTACATGTAATTTGTCGTTGATTAATTTCAAGACTAAATTAACGTTTGTTTTTATAACCTTACTTTTAAGAAGAAGATTGTATAATTTTGTTTGATAGAAAGAGAAAATGATCAATCAATGTTTGATCCATTCGTTAAGAGTGTATGGTAATGTGATTTAAACCATCAGTGTCTCTACCGAGAAATTAATTGAAAATATGTGACCACAAACCTCATCATTCAAGCTCACTCAGCTATGATGGCTGATTTAGAAAACTTTTGTCCGTCGTGTTGTTGCTAGCGGCAGCACGACAAAGTGCCAAACGGCGTTGTCAGACTTTCGTCTTGTCGTCCTGTCGCTAACGATGCAAGCCAAACGGCGCTTTGTCGTGCGGCGAGTTGTTGCGACGTCACATTGTACTTCATAGATACTGAGGTTTGTTATGAATTGCGCGGTAATATACATCGACTCTATGATAAGAATATTGTTATTCTTGAAATTCCATAATTATCCCTTTTAAAGTTCATTTTTATTTTATCATTTTTATTTTATTCCTATGCATACAGTTGATTCAGTTTGGGACATAAAACTGAATTGCAATATTCCATGTATAAGAAAATGGTGAATAGTTTGCATCAATATTGAATGTTTCCTAACTAATTTTCATTTCAGAATGTCAGATATTGAGTTCGCCCGGTCCACAAGTAGTATGCGTGGGGGAAGATGTGGATCTAGATTGGGTATACGGTGACGCTGATGACATTCTGTCGGTTGCTTGGAGTTTCATTCAAAAGTCTTCAACTTTGACACAGATTATGTCTCAAGAACTTGGTGGAGATACGGAAGTGCATAACAATTTCAATATTTTTTATAAGACTAATGGTGGTGTTACTTTGGCATCGGTGACAAGAGCAAACTCGGGAACTTATATTATTATCGTAAATTACTTATCTGCTTCATCAGATAATGATACTGTTTCCGTAGCTGTCAAAGGTACTAGTCAGATTTAATTGTGTTTTCTTTTAATTTAATGAATAAAAGCAAACGATAAGAATATAAAATAAACGTAAAAAATTGAAATGGAATTATGTCCATGAAATGGTATGTTATGAGTAAACAGGTAAATTTTGTAATTTATTTCGCATTTATTCGATATAATCTCGCGTGACCCGAAGTGGGTTCTGTAAACATCCATCAAAATTTACTGTATTGTAATGTTCAATTTTCAAAAACAATGGGTTAAAGATATACTATGCTCAACTTTGAGTTAAATATTTTAATCACAGAAATTTATTGAAATACATGAATTTATTACTGGATGTGTCTAATTTGAATAACATAAAACCGCCTCCGTGATCGAGGGGTTAGAGTCGATGACTTCTAATCGAGTTACCTCTCTGGCGTTGGTTCGATCCCCGCGAGATGCTTTGGTAGTTTAGCACGGAGGAAGGGAGTCTAGTACTGGTGTAACTCTCCAGGAACGATGGTTAGGAAACTACCCGCCTATATGACTGAAACACTGTTCACTTACGAACTTTCGCTATACGTCTATGCAATATTTCGATAGAGCGGAAGTCAGTGCGCGAGCATGCGCTTTGCCATATCTCGTTCAGTTACCGCTCACGTTTTTAATCGGTTGCTATGAAGCGACACTAAGTGTACATGGCTTTTACAACTAAAATATCAGACAAACACATAAAAACAATACACATAGACTACACATAGTTGTTTTCAATATTAATATTTTGCATTTGAAACTGATAGTCAAACAAATATCTCAATATTTTTACTGATTTAATGTATTGTTTACATGTGATGACAGCAACGCTGTGTGTTAGATTACTTTCGGTTCAGAAAATTCATTTGTTTACCATCAAAACTCATATGTTTACCATAGGAACCATATATTGATAGAAAGCAAATTAAACAAAGGTAAAGAAAAAATTGTCCGTTTCTGAACAAAAAATCGAATAAATAAATACAAAGTCTTTTTAAAAAGTCCCTTCTTCGAGTTCATTTGAAAGGGGAATAATTTGGTGGAATTTTAGACAGGGAAAACAGGGAGTTATCTTTCATGGCTAGGGAATATGGCCGACTGAAATTATGCAAGCAAGTTTGTAAGTGCTGTTGGGAAAAGGCGTAAAATGAAACAAAAAACAAACAAACAAACGAATAACATAACTTATAAACTATGTACTGGAGGCTGCATTCCATATAACAGCTCAAGTAAAGTTGGTATTTTCTTAAAAAGAAATTCCCAGTTTTTTAATGTCACTGTATATTCATATAGTGACCCCTTAAGTGTGCAGAAGTTAAAACATAACATATCTTCTTTGTATGAAGTCGAAACATGTTTATTTCATATTAATTAACTTATCAATATTTTAAGTATCAAATTTGAGCAAAGTATATCTTTAACTTAATTATTCAAATTTTATCCCCGACATTTCCGATATCATTGTTTGGTCAATATTAATTTCAATACTTAATCTTTTAAAATATGTAGCCATTTGAACAGTTGTGACATTACAATCATAGGCTGAAAAGGAAGTGAAACGATACAGCCAGCATACTATATATTATAGCTAGATTTTCTTTATATTTAAAATCTTTTTCCCAACTGCAATACAACGGCACAATTTACCCTTAAATATACAAAGTATGCCAACCTTTCAATGGTCAAAAATAATCTGGCATGTAATAAGCAATATATGCCAAATACGTTTATGCGGTCAAATAGATACAAAGTCATGATATATTTTTGAATGATGACGCTTTAAAATGCTTCCACAAAATTTGGAAATTTCAACATAACACTCAACATTGATAATGCTTTAATTTTCAAACACGTTCATACATATGTCTGAACACCAAAACAACTTTCACATGATTGTGAGACAATATATCTCCATTTCTTTTCAGCTATCTTTCTTTTCTTCTCCTACTCCTTGGTATACAAAATTTTGCTTACTTTTTATATGCCAGAAAGAATTTCGGGCATATTTTGTTATACCCCCTGGCGTCCGTCCGTCTGTCTGTCCGACTGTTAAAAATTTGGTTTCCGGAGCATACTTTAAGTTCCATTTGGCCAACAATATTCAAACTTGATAGGATGATTGTACATATTGGGTAGAAGACCCCTATTGATTTTGGGTCACCAGGTCAAAGGTCAAGGTCACCATTACATTAAAACTGAAAACAGCTGCCGGAGCATAACTTAAGTTCCATTTGGCCCAAAATACTCAAAGATCATAAGATGATTGTCCATATTGGGTGGAAGACCTCTATTGATTTTGGGGTCACAAATACATGATGGAACCAACCAAATTGTACAAAACATTTGTCATCAAACAATTCTATATAGTTCACATAATTTTAAATTATTCATAACCCTCTCCACCATGACGTCATCAAAATCTGGAAACAAAGTTATCCGTCGGAAGCATTAATCACAACAAAATCACTTGAACATTGCAGACTCGGTTTTATTGAGTCTGCACATGAGAGATACTCAAAAAGTGCAACATCCCTTATGCCCCATAGCACCGGCTTGAACGGTACTCAATTCTCAATTCTCAATAGTGATAGCATCAATGATCCCGAAGGCCCAGAAAAATATAACAACACTGAAGTGAAGTACGGGGCAACTTTTTACATAGCTGCCACACAGCACTAAAAACAGATTTTGCATTTAAGATTTTCTCAAGATATTTTGTGAAAAGGAGGTGAATCGCAAGATTTCACTTACGATTAAAATATGTCGTAAGTTTTCTTTGTGAAATTTGCTACAGTTTCCGTATGTTTTACATTTCATATGTTACAATACTTATTTGTCGAGCACATAGCCTAAATTTCGTGTTGTTAATACATACTCAAATGATAATGAGAATATATTTATATTATATTAAACGTTCTGAAAAGCTGCAGAGGAAAAATCCATTAAAGTGTATAAGGATTTATATCTGATGCAAGGATAATTGTTTGAATTTAAAATAAGTATACTTTCCAAAATGCTTGTATGAAATAAATATTATAATTTATTTCCATAAAAGTGAATATACACAAAATTAGAGCTAAAGGGATGAACAATACTTTAAATTGCAAAATAAAATTTTGTTCCGGATTATTTTATTCTGTTTACGTACATTATTTATGTGCATGAAATAACAGAAATATTATATGTTACAACTTTTTCGGGAATTAACCATATAATAATGGAACTAATATAATTTTACTGTTGATAACTTTTTATTAAAATATCTTAATACACTTGTTACTATATATGGTAACAAAATAGCATGTGATTTCGACTGATTATGAGTGTCAAGTGACCTATTATGAGTTTGCGGCCCGGGGCCCGCTGAACATGTGCACGTGCACAAACTGAAACAATGACGTACATTTTACGTCATCAAACAGTTAACTGTAGTTAAATATGTGAAATAGTAATAGTAATATTGAAAATGAATCGCATGATTTTATTATGAGAGCTGAAGCGTATTTCGGGCTGAAGCCCTCGGGGCCATTATTCATTTTGCGGGTCGATTATCACCTTCCGGCCCTACTCTGACGTGTATTTATCTATTATCATTGGATATAAATTTATACCCTGTAAGAGATGTCAATAGAACTAAATTCATTTTTTAAAGGAAACTAGCAGAAAAATACGTAAAAATTTAATAATGTAAGAATTAGTTTTCTTATGCTTCACACGTTTATATGTGCATATACTTATTTGATAAGCACATAATCTAAATCTAACATTATTTATATACCAATTATCATATATGTAAATATATAAAAACGTTATAAAAAGTGAAAAATGAAAATGAAAACAAAATATAAAGAGATATAAACGACCAATAAGAATTGTTAATTTTTGTTAGAGATTGTTTGCAAGAGATTGTTTTTTAGAAATCGGCTTCTGATATGTGCAACATAGATTAAATGAAATTTTGATCTTACATGTAAGAGTAAACCTGAACAAAACCTACAAGAACGGCGAAAAATAGACCGGTACATTTTATAATGATATATCAACAATATAAGATATATCTTAATTTGGGAATTATATTATAAGCAATAAACGTTAAAATTAACTCCCCTCTCTCTTTTTATTTTTCAGACTGCAGCTGTAAGTAATTATAATTGCTTCTTATATAGCCATATTTTTTTTTATTAAATTCCTTTCAAACAAATTATTCATAACATAACTGAATGATTTAGGATAATATAATTTGAATACTGACACAAGCTCTTGCACTGTTTGTGTTTGTGTGATTATAAGAGCAATACATTCATAGAGAATATTTGTTTGTTTCTGCTTGGAAGATACAATTTATTTTATGCTTATGAGTGGAATACTTTTTTAGCCGTGAATGTTATATTTGATAATTTCACAGTGAAAAATATCAAAATAAGATTTCACAATTTGTCCACATGTGATACCTCAATTTTATGTTTGCTTATACTTCCAACATTGCAAACCGAAACTGAAATTGAAAAAACAAACAAACAAAAACAACAATCTACCTCAATTCTTTTAGCTTACCAATAACACAAACATCATTTATATCTCATTTTACACCGTGTTTATCCAGTAACGCCGGAATGTGAAAATAACGCACGATTCGTGCAATAAGTAACACAGAATTGTGCAATGAATGGCGGATACATGACAAGATTTCCAACACGGTAAGTAAACTGGTCAATATATATTTTTATGCGACCGAAATGTACAAAATGAATAGCTGCATACGGCTGCAAAGACATTACTCTTTATCCCTCATCATGATCATTTTCACGAAATTGTTTACTTTCAAGATAATTCGTGAAAATGATGACTTGACTACCATTTTGAGCGAGATTTTGGCTTTTTGTCGACTATTTGAAGTACAACAATGCATATTATACCGTATAATTTCGATTTTAGGAAGGCAAGTGACATTTACTAACTTTCTGGTGATATAAAAATTTGAAAAAAGTTAATAAAATTGGATCAAAGTCTCTTTTATTATGTAACGCCAATGTACGTGAATAGTGGTTCACGGTAACGCCGGGAAATGTGATTTTTTTCATATAGTTATGGTACTGAACTGTTACACAGGTTTAACGCCATTAATCGGCGAGTATCAGCACTTTTTCAAATATGTTTTGTGAGGGAAACTTTAAATCATTTTATACAGAATTTAGTCTAGTTTGATTGCGTCCCTGAAACAACATAGCTATAAGCTTGGTAATTAAAGTCTTTGTTGAAGTGAGTAAGAAGCAAAGCGTGAAAAATTTCTTACTCAAGAAACAACGGGGTAACAATTTCTCCATACCTATTGAGATGGTAGTTATGAAAATGGGCTTTGTAAAATTATATAATTTTTCATTGTTCTAACTCTTCATTAATTATTTGATATGAAGAAGGCCACTTTAAAACAGACCTTCATGGCCTGGATGGATTAACTCTTCCACAAACACATCTCTAATAGCTCTCCATATGCATGCACATTGAGTTAAGAAACCAAAATATATTCAACGTATCTTTAGTCTATCTGACCTTTTACCTGGTAAACGTATTAAATGGATTTGCTCAGCTGTGACATTGGAACAGTTCATTCAAAGTCTGAGAGATTGGTATTAGATATTTAAGGTATTTGTACAAATGAACTATGTAAGTTAGCAAATGGTCACTCTGTATTGATGTGAACTGCCTCTGTTTTGTAAACGTCTATAGTAATGCCTACCATAAACTCTTTCGGTAGATTCATTTGATTTTCCCAGACAAGTTACCATATATAAAGAAATTATATAGGTAAGGTAAATCTTTGCCTCAAGGGTTATAATTTATTTAACCTTAGCAGAGGACAATAAGGTTATGCTTTTACAAGCTTTGGTCATTATAGTTTCTAAGTAAAATATCTTTAAAATACAAGTTGCTTTCTTATATAAGAGAAAAAATAAATTAAATAAATAATCCATTTTCACAGACAAATTGGTACAGCCAAATATTTGTTTTGGTTGGGTTTCACATCACACCAACATTAAAAATGACATATGTAGATTTTCAAGCTTTACTAGTGCATTATTTCAGGCTGAAAATATACAGACACTTTTTCTCTTGATTGTTTTTTATAATTTTTATATTCAATTTATTTGCAAACTAAGTTTATTGTTCTTATTTTCTAACAAGAACGACGTTGGCAGCATGTTCAAAAATAATAATTTTATTTCAGGAAACAATTGTCAAATTGTACTAAGTTTCAATATGGAATCAAAATGTTGAAAGTTTGTCAAGATCTAATTATCATATATTTCTTAATGTGTTAGGAAGAAACATATTGACTATAGGTCGCAAATAACTAAGGCAATAAACGGCGTTAAACTTGTGTAATAATCCAGGGTGCCGTTTTATCAACAAAGACGGTCGTAACTGCGATCTTATCTTACGACCGATACTTACGACGGAGCTTACGATTTCCTCATGACCGTTTTATGAACACAGTCGTACGCCCTCAGTCGCAGCTAAGACCATTTTCGGTCGTACGACCGTATAAACAGTAACCATACAGTCGAAAGTACGTTTCCGGGTCACGTGATTTCCCGCGCACCTGTCAATGTAAACACGACTGCATAAAGATGATAAACCACAGGACCCAGAAATTCTATCCAAAACAAAGAAATAACGATTTAAAAAAAATCCCATATATATATATACTATAAAAAAACCTTTGCATAAACTGAATACCGTGTATGCCTCGTCGAAGTAGCTTTAATAAAGGCAAAGCATGGGGGAGGATCAAAAAGGACATTTAAATACGTTTAAGGGCGTGAGGGATGTTGCACGTATTCATTATCCCTCATGTACAGACTCAACCAAATCGGGTCTGCAATTCTAATGTAATTTTGTTGTCACTAATGCTTCCGAGGGGATACTTTGTTTTCCAAATTAACTGAATAAAGTACAAAAAAACGATAAGTCTTTTTGTGTTAGAATGCGATTTCTTTTCTTATAGAAGATTTAAAAAAATACATGGAGTACATTGTATATTGATCTTTATTAAATGCAAAAAAACAGTAAATCATTGATAAATACAAATAAATACTTAAATGCGGATCAAAATATATAGATGCATCAAAAGGAGGACATAAATCCGTCTACAAAACATGTTATAGACGATGTCAAATTTTTTAAATCCCTTCTGCATGTTAGGCACATTATTTCCAATAAAAGCGGTAGCGTCATTCTGGTCATCCTAAGAACGGCTAAGGATACAATTGAATATCACCAATGACTATGTAAATATATTACTTACATCCCTGTATTTTGTATTTATAAGAATATTCTAAATAAAAGTCAAAGAACGTGATAGTATACATCATTATGATCTGTCAACTGTAAAGTATCTTGTCCTAACTGTGTGAGTAAAGCAAAAGGCTTCCAAAGCATAGCTAGTGTTTTAAGATTTTTTTACTTCGACCAAAGCGCTGTTGATGCTTGAATACAGAGACGACATTGAATAAGTAACAGGTGGCACAGCTTGAATGAAAAATATATGTACAGGGCTCTGAGGTAAAATGCTAAACAACATCTGCAAACATTAGAAGAGTCTTTCTTGCATATCAGACTGGCGTTTCCGTTAGTTTTACCCATGCCAGAAATTTCATCTGGCATGGGGGGTTCCAGATGAGTCGCGTGCTGTACAATGGCACGATAAAGATGACGTCATTTTACCGTTATGAATGATTTTGTAATTCATACGCTGTTGAATGAAAGTAGTTACGGTTGTAATGATATAAATTTTCATTGAAAATAAAGATAAATAATTTAAAAAATAATGGAATATGGTAGAATATGCAAGAAAAAATATCTGACATATGTTTGCAGTTCGGATCGGAATATCCGTCCCTCGGTCACCCGCCCATGGGCGGTAACTCGGCAAGCCTCGTTACCGCCCAATGGGCGGATCACCTCGGGACGGATATTCCGATCCGAACCGCAAAATATGACAGATATTATTATTCTTAGCAGTTTCAGCTAAGATTAAGGAAAAGTTGAAAACAATCTGGCTGGCTTATTTGTAAAAGTATTTACAGAACAGTAAGTGTTAGAATGTTACAAAGTCTTTTATTATTATTCCAGTATGACAAAGAATACATATTGCACAGAAAATTATGACATTGAAATGGCAGGTTAAAACTTTTTCTAATAAAAATTAATACCTGTTTAGAATTGATGTACATATCTGCTAGAAAACAATCTTGAAGCTAGATAACAATATAAAACAATATGTTTTAACAGACACAGGGTACTATTCAGACAAGAGCAGTTAAGACAAAGAATAAATTTAGCACATTAAATATAAAATGTCACTTCCAGGGAATTCTGTAGAACGTTTCACAGCTTTACATTAAGATTGTTTATTTTCATTATTGTCCCTCTTGTGTTATTTTCTTTGTGTTTTAATATTCATCACAACAATTTTTAATGCATTCAAGTAACAATAAATCAATAAATATCAATATAAACACATATGTTACATTGATTTATCTCATGTCATTTTACTTTAAGATGAATTGTAACACATAAATCTTTGTTTTTGTAAAGTCACTTTAATTAAATTGAATACAGAGAAAAACATCATTTTGCTGTGTATTCCTTTCAAGTTTTGAACATGAATCAAACATTTTATAATGTTCAAGAGAATGATTCAGTAAAGTTATCACTTCAAGAAATATAAATATTTGATTTTGACATACATTACTAGCTATAGTTTTGACACTTAAGACAAGTGAATATACAGTCAGTACAAACATGTACCATCCAAGGTATACATTCAGAAACAACTGAAAGACCTTAACCTATGTATATGTTTTCATTAATCATTAATAAAAAAAAGCATTCACAAAAGCTTCTTACATGCATTCAGGGTAATAATTGTAGATCACTGACTGTCCCTTTGTGACCATACTTAAGTGTTATTTTTATTCATGTGCATGTAGAAACAAAGTTATTATAGAATGTATTAAATTATACATAATGTACTTTATTCAATATAAATTGATGAAATGTTTAATAGTCTATATAACTTTCTTCTTAACTATCTTTAGGACTTTTATGTCCTTTGTTGGCCATATAACAAGGTCACAACACTTGGGAGAGCTGTCCCTGGATATTGATTCCAACCATTGGATTGTTTAGCTGTAAATCTTCCATAATTCAGCAGTGGTCTGAAACATTACAGAGAATAATCTGACTTAAAATCAAATAATAAACATTGTCATTTGATACAATATTTTTTTTACAAACTATCTCATATGAAATGTCATGAACAGATAAATATGAAAATGTATAATTCAAATGAAATCCTTATAACAAAATGTTAATAGTTTTTATTCAATAATTCTGTATGTTTTTGTAATAATATTTGTCAGTCACAGTCATTGAGCTTTTAAATAGGTTCTTACTGTTTATTTTTTTTTATATTCCTCTATAACTGTCAGTTTTCTGACAGAGTAAGGTAATTTTACTTTTATAATACTGTTTCTAAAATAAGTTTGTCACTACTGACCCTGGTGATATACAGCCTCATCATTGTTAATGACCTCTTTTACAAACACATTGATCAGCAGATGCACCAAGTTCTAACTATTCATGCTGCCTTATATCTGTAAGGAAAATCAGATAAAAATTCAGCTACAATTTCATAGACTCTATATAGCATGTACATGTATAAAAGAAAATCAAGTGATACCTGAAAAGAAGCCTACTAGGATAATATCTACATAAACTTTAACAAACCTATTAGTAAATATGATAATGATTTCCACAAATCTAACATTACTACAATATAATTATTACAATAGTATTTGTTTAAATGTGGAAACAAGACACTTAACCTCTGAAGACACTTCACATCCCAAAATCATTAAGACACTTCACCCATCATCCCTGATTATTTCTAGAATAAATATTTCATCAACAAATAAACTTTTTGTTTGTTAATTTTCTTTTTTTAGTATATTTTTTTATAAAATGTTTAACTCAAGGCAATTTTCAATATTTTTAACACTGACAAGTTACCGTAACTTGCAACATGGAACTTTGATATATTACACCATTTTCTGAAACATTACATGAAAGACAATTTTTAAGTATCAATGTGACATAAAATAAAGAAAAATCTGCTATATAATTGTTGATAAAAAATATTATGTGTGATTTTCAACATAACTATCAATGTACTGTCAAACTGGGACATGCATGTATTTCCCAGTATCAATGTTAGAACAAATGAGAGGTGAAAGATATATCTCATATCTACGATAGTAGGTCACCAACTTTAAATGACTAATACAAAATAACTTATTTAAATAGTCAAACTTATTTTGATAATTATATTTTAGAAAAAAATATAATGTACTTAACTGATTATCATTAATACCATATAAATATAATAGGGGAAAAGTAATATCTCTACAGTATTTTGATTTGGTCCATACTTATTATATAACAAGAAATGTGTTAAAACAATGAATATTTTAATCACTATAATTGATTGCATTTCACATGTTCCACCTTAATTTGTGTAAAGCACAAATCAACACATAACTAAAAAGGGAGGTGTAGTGCTTTTAATCAGATTTCATATAAAGAGGGGTGAAGTGAACTCTAAGGTGAAGTGAACTCTAAAACTGTCTTTATTTCAAACTCACCTGTCTGCACAAGTTACTTGTCCTTTGTTTACAATCCTCTTTTCATGTGATACACCAAATTGGATATAAGATGCTAATTTCGCATTCACTTACATGCTTTACCAAACAACAGTGCTCCAGTTTCATTTGCATTCCCATAACAGCACTGTACTGTAGGTTAACATAATGTTGCCATGTTGATTTCACATTATTAATACATGTCTTTCACCTAGATACTGTAGCAACATCATTGAAAGGTCTACAAAAGAAGATACTTGACTAATTATAACAATCAAATTGGTTTTATATCTTGACAATTACACAATTATTATTGACAATTGTTAGATCTATGTTCTGTCCGAAATCTGCACTGTCCGAAATTTCTGTACTAAAATATTTCGAAATGAAAAGTAGAAAATGGTATAGAATATTGTAAGAATTATTTGCTAATCTGGCTACAGATGTGACAGGAGTAATATTAAACGTCGGTTGTACTTAAATGAAAGTAATATAACTAACCATAGCTTCTTCGTGGAAATTATCCAGAGATTAAACTGGAAGTGATAGTTGCGTCCCTGGGATGTTAAAATAGGATCAGCACTGTACATAAACATGTACGCGGAAAACCTACGTTAGTTGAAAACGTCAATTGTTCAAATATTTGTGTTGAAAGTTCCTATCGGGAATTATGCAAAAATGGCCGCCATTTTTAAGATCTTTAGCCTACCTACGACTGGTCTGAAGCAGCCTTAAAGTTACGACGTTAATCTACGACGTCTTAGCTACGACCATGTTGATAAAACGCGACGTAGCCGTAAGGTCGGTCGTACGACCAAATATTAGCTACGACCGGGCGTACGACCGTTGATAAAACGACACCCAGTACCGTAAAAGAAAAAAAATCACATTTTCCGACGTTACCGCAAAGCACAATTCACGTACATCGGCGTGATCTCATAAAAACGGATTGAATCATATTTTATCATTTTAGTTTCAATTTTCTATATCACAAGAGTTTATAAGTTTATGTCACTTGCCTACTGAAAATCTAAATCATACGGAATAATATGCATTGTTGTACCTACAAGGGCCTACAAAAAGCCAAAATTTCGCTTAAAACGATGGTCAAGCTATCATTTTCACGAACTATCTTGAAAAGCAAAAAAAAGTCGTGGAAATAATCTTAATGAGGGATAAAGAGTTATGTCTCCGCAGCCGTATGCGACTATTGTTTTTTTTATAGTTCGGTTAAATAAAGAATATATTGGCCAGTATTCTTACCGTGTTGGAAATCCTGTCAGGTATCCGCCATTTATTGCACAATTCGGCGATACTTACTGCACGAATCGTGCGTTATTTTGAAATTCCGGCGTTACTGGATATGCACGGTGTTTTAACAGTCTGAAAATTTCACTTTCTTCCACATGCAAAATCGTTTTTGACGACATGTGGGCATATCTAATATATAGCAATAAATATGATACAATATGTTAGAGCAATAACAGTCATCAGCCCGACGGATAAGTAATCAACCGAGTGTTCGTAATACAGCTTTTCAAAAAGACCATGTTTTCTAAATTCCTTTTGGCTTCGATAATGATAACTCATCTGTCAACAACATATATTAACTGTAAATAATACTTAAATAAGTTTAGTATTCCTTCAGTCTTATGAATGTATGTAAAATTAACAAATCCAAATTAATGAACAAATTTAAAATGGCAATTATATTTCAAAGCCTAGTCTAATATCAGCTTCCACGATATATAACGGAAATAAGCTCGGCTTGGTGTAACTTATTCTTCTTTTAAAGTTGTTTATTTTAACTATTAAACCAAGCGATCATTCATGCTTTTTATATTTGTCTTTTGGCGTCTTGTCGGTGATATGCAAGCTTCATAACCTCCAATCTAATTTCATAATTCCATTTTATTTAGTTCCTCCCATTGTTTTCTCGTTTAGTGCACACGCATTCTTTTACTTGGGGGCCATACGCCGCTTTTCATGGAATGACAGTACTGTGTCACATTAAAGGTACCATGATAACCGCCGTATGAACACATCTGCAGATGTTTCTAAATTCAAAATTTCACCATTGTTTGTTTAAACGTTGAATCCTGCTTAAGCCGGTGCTAGGTGGCGTGGACGGTAACTTGCACTATCCAGTACCGTCCATAAACAGGCTGAGTCAAACCGAGCTTGCAACATTTTCAATTTTGCCGTGTTGGGCTTTCTTTGGGTATTCTGTTTTTTCTATTTCTATTATGTAAAATAGTTAATATCACCATTTAATGTTTTTTTTTTTAAATCTTATTGCTTTGCTCAATACGTTATTTATTGAGGAGGAATACTTCTGGAATTGAGGGCTACCAGTGGGGAAAACAAATTTATTATTCAAGTTGATAACGAGGGAATTGCATTTCAATTTTATTTAGGCCAATCTGACCAAAATTCAGACCTACTTATTTCTTACAAGTAGATCTGATACTGTATATGTTTCGCCTTCATAATGATTCGGATTTCCCGAGAAAACTATTTCAGTTGTTTGATAAATCACGAGAAGTTGACACTCTATTCCTGATGATCGTCAGATCTTAATGCATAACTTTATTCAGTAGCTGATTTTGATCAGATTGTGTTTAAAGCATTATGAAAAGAAAATGTTTTATTTCATCGAGTGAGCTTTAAAAACAAGCATTCTTACGAGTGACATTATAATTATTGTTGTTGCATAATTTTTACAGTAAAAATAAGCTCATTTCAAGGCCCGTAATGTAAAAGAAGAAGAGTTTTTCTAAAATCATATTCCGTTTAGGTCTTTGTAAAGACAGCGACCTTAGGCCGGGCTTTTTTTCTCAAGGTCATGATATTTATACTTAATTTGCAAGGGATTTCTAGTATACAATATTATTCTAAGATGAACGTATAAAGCGCTATCACACAACTCTACTTCAGCACTGTATGCTCAGTTGAGCTAAAATATTAGCAATGAGCACGGTCATTTTGCGTACAAATCTTTCATTTTGAACACAAAAAAGAAGAAATGAAACATATATATATATTTAAGAAATAACATCGGCCTGAGAGGTGTATATCGGCTATTTAACACCGGTTTGGAATTTTGATGCGTAGGAATTGGCCACGAAGGCCGTAGGCTGAGTGGTTAATTTTGTCGCATCAAAACGACAAAACCGGTGTTAAATAGCCGATATACACCTCTCCGGCCGATGTTATTTCGATTCTAACACGATAAAATAAGGAAAATCACTAATGTTATCTTTCAAGCGGAAATAACTTCCGGTGTCGATTTTCGTATAACGCTGTTTGATTTTCGCATCCTACTGTTGCGAAGATTTAGAAACTATTAAACAAAAGAAATAATAAGAAAAAAACATTATTTTATAAAGTTTTCAACAATAAAAACTTACGTCGTATTGTGTTAACATCAGTGCCCCATTTGTCATTCTTGTATGTATGAAATAACGTCAGCTTGTTTATGAATGAGTTGTTTACTTAGGATGACGTCATTACGCTGCTTACGGATTGGCGCCGTTTTGTCAAAATATTTCATTAACTGATATGGATCTAATATGTGGCGTTAGTGTATGTGAGATATTATTTCGGTATTGTATGAAAAGAAAACATTATACGAACTGAAAATATAAATAAAAATGCTTTTTATTGTTGCTTTAAACTGCTTTGTAAACTATACAATCGAGGGTGAAAACATAATAGCGCATATTCAAGTAGTCCCTAACCGGTGTTTATTGGCAGTTTAACACCAGTTATTTTCCTTCTTTGTCTATAGTGACAAAATCACGTGAGTGTTAGAATATATGACAATTTGTCTGTAAACGTACCTTTACATACTACATTGACGAGATACATCTAGTTTCAAAACATATTCAAAAATTTCTATCATAAAATAATGAGCCGTTTCAAATATAACACACAGACGGCCGGAGATACCTGATAAAACATTACGTTATATTTAAACAATGACAAACATTGACTTCGGCAGGCTAAATCGTTAACAATAAGTCTTTAAAGAAATTTTATCAATCATATCAATCTAAAAAGTATGCATTTCTGTTTTATCGTTTCCTGGTGAAGAAATATATTTTATATGTATTTTAGACCAATACAGCAGAAGATCTGTAGCATTTTTATTTTTAATTTCAAAAAGTTACTTTTTATATTCATCTTTTGTGGTGTCGGTCTCTTCAACCAAAATTGAAACACACTTTGTCTGTTGCCGGAACGAAGGTTATAACAGTGCTGTTTTAAAGCCTTTGTCCGTTTTGGCTATACACTGCGCATAACGCATTTGTATAAGTTTCACATTTGTTTTATTATTTTTACCTTAAAGGTAAAGGCTATTTCCAATTCAAAATCATTTTACTTTGGCGGCATGGGCGAGCAGTTTAAGCAAAGGACTGGTATTCTAAGTATCTCTATCGGCGTTAGCACAGTGCTGGTTGGTTAAAAGCCTCCTACACAATAAAGCTAAAACAATTTGTATAAAGCAAAACCAATTAAAGGTCAGGGTCATATCAGAATAATTGGACAGGTTGGTTTTGCAATGTGTATTTTGTCAAAATATACATCAAATAACAAATTGATATTGATAAACTGACCTTGACGATCATGGTCAAATAAAGGTCATGTTTGTTAGATAATTCAATATGTGGGTTATGTCATAAGGGTAATTGTGTCCTAGTTTAAATCTAACCCCTAAATAAATTACAAACCTATGACATTCTAAGCTAAATTCAACATTTGCCCTTGATTGTTGTGGTGATTAATCGGTCAAAGCCATATTTGAATTACTGAACGTTTCAGTTTAATTATAAATTTTGTCAAAGTTTAAATCAAAGACATACCAAAGTTAGTTCGCTTCAATCTTTACAGTTTAATTTTAAAGTCATCTCTCATCTCAGCCATGTAATGTAAACAGAGACATGAGCGATGTGCTTTGTATATATCCTGTACTACAATCGAAGATTGATTCCTAGGAGATTTGTCTACCAGTATTTTGCTAGTTATACAACATTACAATCTGGGCTTAGATGTCATAAAACTTAAAAGCGGGTAACTACTTGCAGAAAAAGCTCTTGGCTACTGCTGGCAGTTGAACTCAACCTAGCATATTGCCTAACAAATTGGGTACAATCTTAAATGATATAATTGAAGGTTTACTTTGTGAAATAACACGTAATAATAAATACTTACGGAATAATGTTTAAAGGCTGTAACGAAACATATTAGCTTCAAAGCTATGAAAATCTCTTTGGAGACCGGATGTTAATGCAAGAACGACCTGCCATCACAACGAACGGACGCGAACGCCAGACTGCGTTCCTACATAACTAGTATCTTATGTTAACGAAGTGTCGAGACGTTTCGATCACTCTCGTAACCAATTCAAATGTGAAAATAACTCAATGTTTCTTCAATGTTAAAGAGGTGAACTAGGTTATACTGTTTCTTTAACATATCGTCAAACATTCATTTATTTACTATATCGTTTTCATCTTCTTAATCAATGTAAACGGTACCTTATACTAACAACAAATAACTATGTCATGTAAATGTTGAAGTTATCAACTGATTTTATTTAAACTTCCCTGTTGATCCCTTAATTTTCTACATTTTGGAACACTTGTAAGTAAATGCTATATATTTAAATATTGTTTGTGAATATTCTCTTGACAGATACAACAACAACTACAACACCACTGCCAACAACAACAAGATCACTACCAGCTACAACTACACTAGCTACAACAATGCATGGTAAGAATTTTACCTTTGAATGCGAACGCATATAAAATCTATTAGTATTTCATTCAATATTTGTCAAATTATTCTGAAAAGCAGAGAACATTTATCCGGGTCTGTGAGTATTTGAGAATGACAACTGTCAAATCGTTACATCTAATACAGTTTAGCAGTATAGTCCGACATGACAATTGAATGAAAATAAGGTTTTGCATTACCGATAGTGAAAAAAAGGAAACAAAACAGGAAAACCGATATCTCAATGCTAGAGCAACTGTAACAAGGCCGTAAGTACAGTTCTAGCGAGAAATTAATGTCTGCAATTCAACAGTGACTAACAACCACATGGTGAACGTCTATAATCGGCGATATTACTTGGCGAAAAGTGATACTGTTTTTGCATTGAATGTCAAAAGGAATGTTAAATCTAGGCTATACATTTGGTGCGCGCCGCGACTGGAAGTGTTGCCATAGTATTTATGTAATAATTTTGTTGTTTTCGTTTGTTGTATTACAGTGAAACATATTAAAACATCTAATTCGTACCTATTTAATTAAGCTTTTGAACACTCTTATTAAAGAATATTGGGAGAACGCACGTATTTTAATTTTAATTATTTAAATCAACACCTTTATAAATTTAACCAGGCTCTTATATTCTTGATTGTATATGTTGCCTTCCATTGCTTTCTTAGTATATTGATAGCACCCATAAGCTCATTCTACATAGGACGAATACCATACATTTATCTGTGAAGATTGATTTCATGTAAGTTTTCACCTCATCCAAATTCCAAGTACAAATCTACCCTTGTCATAGTAATGTTTGAAGCAGAAGAGTGCTTGAAATTCATCTGGGAAATGCTCTTAACTTCTCAAGATGTTTGGCATCACAGTCAAATCGAAAAGGGATAACATGGCAGGTGGCATTCTCATGAAGTTCTGGAAGGCCCTTGGATCTTCATTACGGAGCTCAGGTCTCCGGCCAATCCAGTCGCGCACCCAGATGTTCCGGACCACCCTTCTCCTCCTCCTTCGTCTTCTTCTGTCAATGAGGAGCTGATGGACCTGTACAACTTGGTTCTGATGCTGCTGGAGCAGCAAGACGAGGTCATTACGGTGACGGGGATCCATGTTCACCCCTTGACGTCTGGAGCACAACTGACGAATGCTCGGCTAATCGCGCTTTTTATATACCTAAAATCAGACGTTGTACGGACGCGATAAGGCCATGGACAATCGTATTTGGGACTTGTACAAGACGCAATTGAACGTGATTAGGCCGGAATTTGGGCGCGCTGTTTACGCGGAGAAAGGCGTTTGTCCGTGCTTACACGCGGAACACACGCTAATGCACGTGATAACAACGCGGTACAGACGCGGAACAAACGTGCTATGACCGTGCTGCACCCGCGATTACCCGCTTAAATTTCGCGTCCTACCACGTGTAACCACGTCTTAACCGCCGCCGTAGCATGTCCTAGCACGTTCGTTCCGCGTCTGTACCGCGTCTTTACCGCGTGTGTACCACGTGTACCGCCCGCGATTGCCCTCGGTCTAAATCTTTGGGCAGTCCAAAACTTTTTCGCGCGGCCAACCGCGTGTGTATTTCTTACCGCGTGCAACGACGGGTAAAGTACGGCTGTATCGCGTCTTTATCGCGACCTGAAAGCGTCCAATAGCGTCTGCTTTACGGGCAGTAAGTCTTGGCCGTTATTCGGCCGCGATACGCCCGTGGAGGGCTGTGTGACCGGGCCTTAACACTTGGACAACATATTTAAAGCGTGTGAAATCAAATTGGTCGGAGTGAACATAAACGTTTCGTAAACACGTGATAATTATCGCCGCTAATGGGCGAAATTTAGAACTAAATTGCGCATGTTGTAAATTTCGCTAGTCTCTCTGGCGATCATTTTAGCCCTTTCTATAGACCAGGGACACTTATACAAGCGAACAATTTCGCCTCGATAATTATTGTCTGAATTTTCGTATGTTGTGTCTTCTTCATGCGAGAAATATTGCTTCGAAGGGCGCTAATTATCGCATAAGTGACTAGCGAAATTCATACACGCGATAATTATCGCATCTTGGACTAAATTTGGCATATTTTAAATTTTGCTAGTCTCTCGTTCGAGACTTAGCTCCCTTCAACGCGATATATATCGCGTGTTTACATTCAAGTGAAATTTTGTGGACGAAAAAGGCTACCGTAGTTTTCGGCTCATATGACCTGTGTCCTATTACGTTCTTTATCTTCGATAATTATTTACCTCTCGCTGTTGTTCTGAAACAATGTGTTACTTCGATTATGTAGACGACATTTGATTTTAAGATGTCTGTCTTAACTGATTCTGCCTAAGATGAAAAATGTATTTATTGGATGACATATGAATTGTTGTTTTTTTCAAGCTTTATCGAATGAAATTTTTGATAAAAAATGAAAAAAGCAGAAAGAAAAAAAATCAACACAGAAGAAAAACACACACAAATATTAATAAAATCGTGTTGTTTTCATCACTTTATGATCATTGATTAAAAGATTTGTAACACGAAACGACTATGACATGTGATAAACATGATTATTTTACGTAAACAGAAATAGAATGTTTAGGAAGAAACATTAATATTTTATTTTAGTAGGTAAGACGATGGTTTCTCGCTAATAAACTGACATTTTTAATGCCCATTATGCCACAGAAATGCTATCATTTAGATTTCTTAAAAATTGTTTATTTTTGTATCTTGTTATGGTTTCAAAAAAAACAAAACAACATACTCTCTTGCTTTATACATAACCTATCATTTTAATTTTTTAGTTTGACAAGATCTTATAGACATAAACAGGAAAATTATTTTATCTGGAATAATTAATATTATAAGATTACAACGTCATCAGTCATCCTAATGTTCTACTCCAACAAATAATCAAAACAATATATAGCATTAAACTGTTCACAAGCAAAATTGGAATCAGGATCGATTAAAGATTTCGTTTTTACGAAACAAATACTTCTGCAATGAAAGCATTTAAGTGACCAATTGTCGATTTCTTAATCATGAAGCATACTATACATTTTATTAAATTTTCATATGTTTATTTTGTCATATCTAATACATGTACAACTACAATCCATATAACAAAAATAATTTACGAATTGACTCAGTGAATTGGATCTTTTATTGAATCAACCCGTTTTCTGATCCTCTGGTCACCCGTTTCTACTAAGAAAATCACATTGATTCCAGTTTCTTTAATACTGTTTTGGTTTTATGCCTCGCTTTGATTTGATTTACTTACCTGGTCATATAAATAATTGCCTACTGGTATATTTCCTTTCTTCAGAAATCAGGATAAAATTAACTACACATGATTTACATCTCATATTCTGACAATATCATCTAAATCTTTCAAATTAAACTAGTAAATAGCAAAATATCGGTGTTAAAAGATAAAATAAACACTGTTATTTCTGCGATGGCAGTTGTACCATGTTCTCATCTATCATTCTATCAAAATGACTAAATCATTGATTATTTAAGAAAGGGTAACGAGTTACTCTAACCTCTTTGGATCACTGATGTTGAATCAATCCGGTGCAAAACAAATCAAAATCATGTCAGCAACGGAAAAATAAACAAAATCAACTTGTTATATCAAAATATGTACATGCATTATAAGCATTCCAAAAGAGTGAATGTCACAAATGATAAGGTTATAATAAAATTTAATTAGTTAAGATATTATAAGCAGCCTATATCAAATATAAATAAATACAACCAAATAAGGGCGGGGGCATATAATCCCTGCATATTCCGCTGTTCGTTACGGCAAACATCAAAAGTTTTAATCAGGATCTTACTGAGTGGTTACAGTCCTGTAATGAAGATATATTTAACCTTGGTTTTATTTCTATTCTGATTGGTGGATAACATCCCTCAGCCAGGAAAAGCGCGATTTTCATACACTTGAGGAAGATTTTTTTTTATTTAGTTGAATAAGTTTTATTAAATTGTGGGTTACTATGGTATGTTTGTATTATTTGACTGCTGTATTTCTATAAACAGTTTTTTAATAATTGGATTTGTTAGCATTTAAGTAGATGCTTTCTGATGGTATTTTTGATTCATTTTACTATTTACATTAGGCGATATACATGCATTTCAAAATGACAGTATTTTACTGTAACAATTACTTATTACATAAACATCTTAACAATGTCACATTCCTGAAATATGTACACATGATTCTTATTTTGCTTGCCGTTTAACAGTTGAGCGGTTAACACTTATGCTCTTCAAGGGAGATATTGGTGTTTATGTGTGCACGTCCAACACTTGATATCAGAAATGAGTAGGGGTGAAGGGCTAACACTTATTATGTTCACGGGAGAGATTGGTGTTTATGTGTGCACGTATTGCTTTAAGGAGAGAGAACGTGACGTTCATTTGACTCCGTTGATGTTGTCACAGTGTATGTATGCTTGAATGCAAACGTTGATCACAGCATTTTTTGTAAAGTGTGTTTGTTAGATATGTATAATTTTGCTGGCAAAATTTGTAAAACGTATGTATTGTTTTAGACTAAAAATGAAGTAGTATTTTACATATCCGTACAACTCTCGTGTAAAAGTTTCGATTTTGATTTAATTGATCAACTAAAAAGAGACCTCCACTTGTAGATACATCTGTTTATACTTTTTTCCAACTTTGATTCCAGGGTTTAGTCATACATGAATTGAATAAGATTGTGCCATTTGCATGGTTTCTACGTTAAGAGACAGAACATAATATCTGAAAAGAACGTGTTTTCAGAATGGGTTAATATTAAATGCCGTTTCGATTTTATACAAGTACAAATGTTGCTGCAATGCAGCAATTGAGAAGCTCCGCGCAAAAAATGCGCTCATTACAGATAACTTACCAAATTATTCCTACGCACAGGTCATGTTATATTCAGAGTAAGTACTATTGTAGATTTTTTCCGAATGTTTTGTAAACCATTTTTTGCATAACTA